CATTATAATCAGTAATTATGTCTCCACTGGATGCAACAAATGCCTCGTTTATAATGGGTTTTAATGTTTTTGTCTCTTCGCTCCGGCCTGACACGGCATCACAATATGGTAAGGGGCGTAACATTTCTGTCACACGCTTGAGGTATTCAGCCAATCACAACGCACTGGATAGCTGGCCAATCAGAGCACACCTCGCTTTTCAGAACGATGAGCTTTGTAAAAATCGACGTGTTTCAGAAAGGCGGGGCATAGAGGAGAAACAATAATGTACAGTATGTGGAAAATAATGTGTTTTTTGAACCTTAAACCGCATAAACACATTTCATTACACCAAATACACAAAATAATGTTCTTTTTAGCAACATCATATGACCCCTTTAAAGCATTAAAAAAAGATCTCAACAATGTCTCAAACTGTGCTCAGATTTGCCAAGATGCCAAAATCTGTAAAAGTCAAACTTCTCAAGATCAGTTTTTATAGCTCTAGACTCTTACTGTATGGCTACTGTTGACTCACTTGTTTAGCAAAGACAAAGCTGGTCATTAAAGATTGCATTAAATCACTCATTTCCTATGTTGACATTACTTAATGAACCCATTTTGCTTAAATAGGCAATAGCCTTTACTTTACATAACAGTAAAATTAAGATTTGCTATTTGGTTGCATGAGGGCTGTTCTCAATCTACAGAGCATTTAATTGGACACCTGCAAGTGCAATGTGATGTCATCAACATTTTGGACTGTTTTCCTAAAAAATTTCATTTTAAATCTGTATACCTGCTAAACATTTGTCAGGTTTTACTTGCACTGGCATTAGGATGAATTCAAAGCAAACAGACATGAATTAAAAGCCACAAAACTCGCATCTTAATTTGACTGGATATTTAAATGAAACAGTAGATGAAGCATGTGCAGTCTGACCTGTGTTTGGTCTCTGTTTCTCAGAGCTCATGGTGATGTTGGTTCCTCCGGCCGTTCCTGCGCTGCAGGGGGAGCCTGTGGCTCTCAGGTGTGTAGTCTGGGGTGGACCGAAGCTGGAACAGGCAGTCTTCTATAAGGATAAAACAAAAATCAAGACCACATCTGAAGGAACATACACCATCACCAGCGCCACACAAACTGATAACGGCAAGTACAGCTGCCACGCCACCTACAGGTACAGCCACATCAGTGCAGAAGCAGCACAGAAGCAAGGAGATTCTGATGCTCAGGAGTTAAAAGTTATAGGTAAACACAACAACAGCTGCATTACCTCACACTTTCATTAATACAGAACCACTAATACTGCATGTACTAACAAAAAAAGTACCATAAAGTATTTTTTTGACATGGTACCATGGTGTTCTTTATAATATACATGCATATCTCAGTTACATAATAACATTGAAAAAAAACATAATAATATATTACACACACACACATTTATATATATATATACTGTAAAAAATAAAAGTTTATATTAAATATATTAACATTATAATATTTTACATCTTACAGTTAAAGCAAGTCAAAATAGGTAAAAAATAAAATAAATGTTTAATGAAAACAACCCATCACATCATTCTTTTTCTATGTTTTCACTGGCTGCATGCAAAAACAAGAAAGTATACAGCATGATCAGCATGGTCCGATTCATGAAACATTTAGTTATTATTAAACAGTCAGAATTAATGACTTACAAGCTTACAAGTCAGAATCACTCATCAGTTTGAATTGGTCTAACAAATCACTCACTGATTCTGTCAGAACGGTTACATTAATGCATTTGCTAGAATCAGGTCTAATCAGGATGTGCGTCCACTAGTTATTTAACCCATGTTCTTAGCACCATGTGCCACCCGTTAAGCTTCAAACCAGCCACTGAAATAACACCATTAACACTCATATTATGTGTGCTTACAGATACACATTCTCAAAAACACCTGATTATCATTGTGTAATAAATAGAAACATCTGAAATTCTCATTAAATTTGCATTGTGCCTAAAAATCACCCATTTACACATGGTAAAACCACACAGGCTTTCTTGGTTTATTGCTTTAATAAAGGGGGAAAAATTGTTAATTAGTTTTTTTCCCTGCTTAATTTGGACCAGTTACAATCCAGTATGAAACAAAGGCACCATGTAAATACCACTGTATACTATATTCATCTAAAATCATCAGTGCACCACAGTCTTTTTTTTTATAATAAATAAAAGTCTTTATTTCTGTTGTACAGGTGGACCTCCTGCTGCAGTGATTTCAGCGTCTAATAACAGTCTGCGGTGTTCCTGTCCTCACTGTCCTGCCAGCTGCACGTCCTACCACTGGTATCACACACTCTTTAATGACCCATACACACGCAGAAAACTAACTGAAAACGACGGGTTTATTACTGTAGAAGATGAAGGACTGTACAGCTGCCGGAGGGACTGCAGGAAAGGTTTCTCCCGTTTCAGCAACGACTACAGCTACGCAGGTACTCATGCTCTTTAGACTTTCATTTTATTACTGTTTTTATTAATATTTTGTTTTTGTTTTTTTCATTTCGTTATTTTGTTGTTTGTAATTTTTATTCGTTATTTATAAATGTAAATGAATGAATGGAATTATTTTAAATGATTAATTTGGCAAATATTTAAAATAAGTTTTAGTTTTATTTCAAGTAACAAAAAATGTTTTTATGGTTTTTATTTGAATTTAACAGTAATAACCCTGCCATAAACACAATTTTTGTTTGTTATTGCTAGAACATATGAGTGTAGACTATTTTCTGTGGTAATCAACAGCAGAAATGATTCTCAAAGTGTCTGTGACACCCAAAAGTTTCACGCCAAAACACAAGCACACAAAGCTTTATGGTCTCTTTTATTTTCCGTGCATATTCATGTAGAGTGTAGCAAAGTATAAAGGCACTAGTCACTTTCAATTCTCACTTGACGACTGTGCAAGCACACTACTTCTCATTTTTATTTTCAGAATGAATTTGCATCCTCTCTCTTTCTCTCAGTGCAACCTGAATCAGATACTGCAAACGTGATGCCCATCATGGTGGCGGCGATTCTGATCGTTCTCGTGCTGTTGATCGTCTTGCTGATCGTGCTGAAACGCAGACGTGGAGGAAGCGCCATCCAGGAGACCAAACGGGATAAAGACAAGACAACAGGTGGAGACTATGAGCAAATCCAACTCAAAGACAAGGATCAGGCGGTTTACCACACGCTGGGCGAGAGCACGAGCAAGGACCAGGCTGAGGGGGGTTACGAACCCCTACAAAAGAGGCAGGAGGAGGGGGTGTACCACACACTAGGACCTGGAGAGGGTCAGAGTGAAGGTCAAGGTGGGTACGAGGCTCTTAAGAGCGTCAAAGCCGAGGTGTACCAGACACTGAGTTCAGACGACTCAAAAAAGCCAGCAGGAGAAGCCGAGGGAGGGTATGAGCAGCTTCCTCAGAAAGACAAAGATTACGAGACCGTGACAGTGGAGGAAAATCCATACGAAGAAGTGAAGAAACAGATGGCCAAAGAGAAAGAATGAGGGAATCTAGGAAAGAATAAGCACCATAATAGTCAAATGGCTGTTTAGTCATTGAAGGCAATGCAGCCTTTCTAAAATCCTTGCCAATAGTTAACACAGTTAATCTAATGCAGGTTCATGTATTAAATGTAATGTATTAAAGAGATACTTGGTACTCCACCCAAAAAAAAATAATTATTTACACACACACACACACATATATATATATATATATATATATACACACACATTATATGTAATAGTACAAGAGTACCTCCAAAGCTGATTTTAGTGTATTTATATATACATAATAAATATACACAGTACACACACACATATATTATGTAAACAAAACTTTTATTTTGGTGTAATGTGGGGTTTGGGTTTTGTTAGTGATTCATGTTCATTGCTCTTATGTCTTTTATTTTGTAGTTTGGCCACAGTCATGTTCTGTCATGTGATTCCCTTTTCGGTGTGTTATGTTCTGATTGGTTCTTTGGGTCATGTGTCTTGTCTCTCATTGGTTGGTTCTTGTCATGTGACCTGCATTGTTTAATATAAATAGATTGTCAAGTCAAGTCAAGTGAAGCCATTGTCAAGTCAAGTCAAGCCATTGCACTTGGGTTCATCACAACTTGCCGTTCAGTGGACTAACCGTTACATTTGGATGCAATTAATTGCGATTAATCGTTGCCCAGCAAAAATGTGTATACATATATATATATATATATATATATATATATATATATATAACTATCAGTAGTTTCACACAGGCAGTTGCATTCACACAGAATTGCACCGAATCGGTTATTGGGAATATCTGTGTGAATTTATAGTTATACAGATTTTGCTATCTATTACAGATAGTAATTATATTTCTCAGCTAGTGTTACTCTTATTCAACTGTAAATGCATTTGCACTGTAGTCTGTTTCATTGTTTCATAATGTTTATTTTCAGATCTTAATTTTAGTCCATGTGCATTGTTGTTTTGTATGTTGTTTTTATAAATCACTTTAAGAACTTAATGCATTTTCAGCTTTATTAATTGATTAAAAAAGCTTTATTAAATATTGAATTGAGCACAGCTGTATAACTGAATACAATATGCAATATTACATTTTTACTGCAATGCAACTATAATTCAGTCTTTCTCCACTAAAGGGCAAATTGGTGCCTATTATCAAACCCAGTCCTGTCGAGATTCACAACAAGAGGTCACTGCAGGATTGATTTGGTGTTGGTCATTATACATACTGGTTTGTCATTTTAGTTTTTATACATTTTTCTTTTTTTCTGTTCCTCATAAATTCCTTGTGTAATTCTGAGTGTCAAATTAAATTGTATATAAATGAATCCTTGGCGTCTCTCTTGGTCTTGATACAGATTCATTGTTTTGTTTTTTTTTGTTTTTAATTGCCTACTTCCGACAACTTTTAGACCGTTTGGATCAGATTCATATGGTTTACTTTGAACAAAAGTTAAAAACTGAAAATTTTCTTAGAAACATAAAGAAGAGAAAAAATAGAAATGACTATGAAAGCTGAGACTCAGAAATATAAAAACTATAAGACACCAAATTAGATTAGATGTGAATTGAGTAGTACATATGAGTTTAAAGAAACACGACGTATAGACACTGAAGTAGAAACACTGAAGTATATTTACATATCAACTGTAGGCCTTTATTTTTATTAATATTTATTTTATTTGTATTTTATTACATTTTTTTGTTTTTAGTGGTTTTTATTTTGATTTATTTATACATTTTTTGTAAGGTGGTTAAATTGATGGCCCACTTTTGCCAAGTGTGCTAGATAAAGTGGGCTGCCTTGAACCTTTATTAATTACTCACATTTATTAAATAAATTGACATTCACCGTTGTTGTTTTTTCTTTTTTTCTTTTCTTTTTTTTATTGGCATGTAAAACTGGCTTCTTAGAAAATAAAGGGTTTGTGCAGTCAGGAAATTCAAGTCAGAAGAAGGAAGAAAGGAAACAGCAGATGCAGAGTTTAAGCAGAAAGGAAGGCCAGGCATGTGGAAACTGGAGTGAAGCCAGATGTAGAGTATAAAGCTTTCAAATATGGTCACAATTAAAGTTCATTTCATGTGTTTAGAAAAAAAGTTTTACAAGTTTTAAAATATTTCATTTCAAATGTATCTTTTTTTTGATAGCCTGTCTGTAGTTATTATAGTATTAAATGTTCATTCTTTCCATCAAAATTCTGTTATATATTTTATATTTTATCAAATTAATTTTTTTGATAGATCGATTTTTATTTTACACATGAATTGAGAAAACGATATGTTTTTGTTAAAGGTTGTTGAATATGTTTGTTTGATAATGTGTAAATAAAAACATTTGTTTTTTTATGTTTATGACTGCTAATAAAGATACAGGATTTTTTTTTTTTGGTTTTGTTGATAAAATAGACATGGCCCACTTCACCTGAAAAGACATTTGTCTGGAGTGCATGAAGAAAAGAAACTCAAAATGACAAGTTTTACAAAAAGTGGCCCACTTCACCTGAATTCATCCTAAAAAATAAGCTCAAAGAAAAGTGTTTTTTTAATTAATTTTTTTATGAAACAATAGGCCTGTGTGTGCCAGAGGAACAAACAGTTACTTGGACTTGGACTAGGCTTATTATTGGCAGTCTGATTGTTTATACAGTTCAAGCCATAAACATTGGCGACCCTCCAATTTGCATTGCTTTGACCGTTCTGGCACGACGCCACCATTGATCAAACTGCATGATCTCAATCTTCTACAACCCCCCACCCACCTGCCTCCTGCCCCCACTGTCCTCTTTCTGGAAAAAAATAAAATATGGTCTTAAACAGTACTCAGATTGCATCATTTATTGGAGAACGACGATAGAGGATAGATCTTGCAGGTTAAATCTGATGTAAACAATGGAGAATACAGCAATATTTCTTGGATTTAACACTTTTGTGGACAAACAGTTTTTCACTGGACGCTTTCTTTAACAACTTACACAAGTGCGACGGGTTGGATTCATCTCACGATTGATTTTTCATAATAAAGGTATGAAAGTGGACCTGTTTTGATTTTGCATGTTTTCAGTTCCCGACACAAATGACTATATAACCGTTGAAGCATTAAAATAAACACACGATAGAATAAAATGAAGAACTCTTTTTTAAAAGATGTATGCTACACTCTAAAAAATGCTGGGTTAAATACAACCCAGTGCTGGGTGAAATAGGGGTATCCCGACACAAATTACTATATAACCGTTGAAGCATTAAAATAAACACACGATAGAATAAAATGAAGAACTTTTTTTTAAAAGATGTATGCTACACTCTAAAAAATGCTGGGTTAAATACAACCCAGTGCTGGGTGAAATAGGGACAAACCCAGCAATTGGGCTATTTTGACCCAGCGGTTGGGTTACTACCCAGAAGGTTGGGTTAAACCCCAACTATAATTTGTCAATATTACAAACATTTGTGGGAAGTAGTCTATATAGAAGCTAATAACCATAAGCTTTGCATGCGACTTTTCCTTGGTTTGATATTTTTGACCATGAAAACTTGTTTAATATTTTTTAAACTTAATTTATGAAGTTATAGTGAAATAAGGCTTTCATTTTTAAAAGTAGCTTATTGTATTTTTTCCAACATTTCATATTGGTATATTTTTTTAAAAAACAACTGATTTTACACATATCAGTATTTATGCAGTTGTAGTTCCTTCATGCAACATTTCAGTTTCATTAAACTGTCTGTGTCAGTGCATCTAAATGCCATTGATTTTAGCTGCTTCTGTTTCTTCTGCAGTGGAAAGCTCTCTTCTGTTGATGCTGATTTCATTTTATTGGAAACAAACCTACAGTGTATTAACTGTTCATTTTTAAAAGTAGCTTATTGTATTTTTTCCAACATTTCATATTGGTATATTTTTTTTAAAAACAGCTGATTTTACACATATCAGTATTTATGCAGTTGTAGTTCCTTCATGCAACATTTCAGTTTCATTAAACTGTCTGTGTCAGTGCATCTAAATGCCATTGATTTTAGCTGCTTCTGTTTCTTCTGCAGTGGAAAGCTCTCTTCTGTTGATGCTGATTTCATTTTATTGGAAACAAACCTACAGTGTATTAACTGAAATTCTTAATAAAAAGTAAGAATTTGATATGAAAGATGACACATACATTTAATAAGGTTTGGGAAAATCTTTGTCGAAAAATCCTAAAGGATTCCAATTAGAAAATTGTACAGGATTCTAATTTGAAGTTCATATTCAAATAATATTGAATATCATATTTTGGAACCATTCCTAAAAGATTCCTATCTAGGACTTTCTATACAAAGGATTTTGTTCTTATCTTGATCATTTTATTTGAAGCAGTTTGTTTACTGAGACAATGTGCATAGAACAAAATAATTTAAATAGGACGCCAATGGATCCCAGTAGGGGGAAAAAAGAAAGAAAACTCATAGGATTCTCAAGTCCTATAAGAATCTTTTTGGAATGGTTCCAAATTATGATAGAAATTCTAATTAAAACAATTATCTTATTGGAATCCCTTAGGATTTTTTTGACAAGACCTGGATATCAATTTAAAAAATAAAAATCAAAAAGTACATTTTAGTATGCAGTAACTTTAATCACATAAAATGCAATTTCCCAAAAACAAAATTGTGGCCAGTGAAAATTCTGAGTGGCAAGTAATTTTGGAAAACCACTAGCCAGTAGCCACAGTGGTTTTTAAATAGGACGCCAAAAAAGTTAATGTCAAGCCCTGTTTACTACCTGACCTAACAGATGAGACCGCTAACAGTCGTCAAAATTCTGACCATTATCCATCCAGTGCAACTAGTGACTGATTCAGAAGGTTTTTACACTACATACACTACCACTCAAAAGTTTTTGAACAGTAAGATTTTTAATGTTTTTTAAAGTATTCTCTTCTGCTCACCAAGCCTGCATTTATTTGATCCAAAATACAGCAAAAGCAGTAATATTGTGAAATATTTTA